CGAGGCCATCCGCCCTCAATTCACTGGGTGGCCTGGCAAACTAAGTCCTTTTGACGCCTCGCGTTCTGCTCGCGCGATACTCTGCGACCCGCAGACACGAGACCTCCGAGAGGCCGGAAGTGACGAAGCGGAAGTGGGGCCGGGCGTGGCCGCTTGGGCCTGGCCGCGGGAGGCGACAAGCGGGGGAGCCAGGGGCTTGAAGTTGAGCGGGGAAAGGTCCCTACGCCGGTGGCTAGACTTTCTCCGCAGGTAGTAGATGGTTTGGGGGTGCAGGTGGGCGTGGAGGGGCCCGCTCCCTGCCTCTTGTCCCGGGGCCGTGCCGTCGCTGGCCGGGCGCGGGCGAGCAGGGGCTGAGGCTACCATGGCCTGCGTGAGGGAAGGTCCCCGTTGTGTGACGCCATCGTGTCGTGTCACTCCCTCTTTCTAGAAACATCTGTGCGGCCCTGCCTTCTGCTCCAAGCAAACTGCATGCTGTCCGACTCCTCTGAGGGGAGTCGGTGGTCCGGCTCACCTGTGTGACCCCGGGCCTGGCACAGGGCCTGCCTTGTACACAGCGGTCGTTCTGAAGAAAGGGATGCCGAGGAAAGACCCCGTCTACCGGAAGTTGGTTCTCTCAGCCTTCGCCCTTCGTGTTCAGAATTCTTTCCCAAGCATCTCCCTTCTTCCTGTCCGCGGTTCTATGTGGTGGTTGTTCCTTGTGCCGCAGATGAGGGAACTGAGGCCCAGAGAAGTTGTGGAACCTTAGTTAGGAAGTGGCAGAGCAGGACCTCAAGTCCCTGCCTTCGGAATCCTCATTATTAAAGTAATGAGGTGAGGTGTGTGAACGCCTAGGTGTGAGCGCTCAAAAAAGAGTGGACCTTAACCCTAGAGAATGGGGACTGCGTCCTTGTGCCCTTGTTTCTCCGTTTCCTAGAATGGAGTCTGCTGCACGGTGAATTCTGGAGAACTAATAGTTGAATGAATTGATGAGCACACACAGGAGGGAGGGGCTCCACAAAGTGGGTTTCTCAGCCTCTTGCAGTGTTCTTCCCACCCGAGCAGTAACACCTCCTAATGCCACGGCATCGTCTGCGATCATTCTCCCATCACAATCTTGGCCAGAGCTTATTTTCTCCCGGGTTAACTTAAGTCTATAGGCAGAACCTGTACAAAAAGGAAAGCTGTTCTCTGCCCTGAATGCGTCTTTCCAGATGCCTCTCACTCAGCCTCTTAGATGCTGCTCTTGGTATTGTCCTAGGTCTTTGGGTGAAGTCAGCTCAGTTCCTCCATTCCTTATTCTCAGTTCTGATATCCAAAGAATTTTGAAGATCAGTTTTTTCCCCCCAGGTCGTTTGGCAGCAACACCTGCATTGAAAGGAGCCACTTATCTGTATTTATTCCAGATATTTACAAGTTTTTGTTGCAGTCATGTTAATGCGTTTGCTTGTTCGGAGCGGCCCCACACCTTGCTGTGGGTATCATGTAACATATGGTATAGGCACTGCATTACCCTTCAAAAGTCTGGAAAAAAACCCTTTGAGTTTGAATTCCACAGTGTCACTTGATAAATGATTTCCTGTTATGATTAAGGTAAAGTTGAGGGAGGAAATAGCCTTTGCCAAAGCATTGTGGAAGTGGGCAAGTCTAAAATGGAAACCAAGAGACCTTTTCTACCTCATCGTGTGTTTACTTTGGAATTATTTAAGGGCAAAAGCTCCTTAATCAAACGCTGGTTTTTGAATGTCAGGATCGTGTTTTATATTTCTTATGTCATCTGCAAAGTGGTACAAATGGTGCATACTCAAGAAATATTTGTTGAAAGTGATACAAATGGTAGATACTCAAGAAATATTTGTTGATATTGATTGTCAATACCTGTTTCTTGAGTACCTATTATGTTCTAGGTACTGATTAGGCAATAGGATTATATTGCCTTGTAAATAGAATGGTCATGGTCCCTACTGTCTTGGAATTCCTGGTCTGGTGATGAAGAAAGCAAATGACAAATACAAAAGTACAGAGTATGGTAAGTCACATGAAGGAAATAAACCAGGTGCAGAAAGAATATGTTGGGAAGATCTAAGTAGTTACTGTGCTAGCCTCTCAGAAGAGGTGACCTAGATTTGTGACATGGAATATCTTAACATTTCTTTTTTTTAAAATTTAATTTTATTTATTTATTCATAAGAGACACACAGAGAGAAAGAGAGAGAGAGAGGCAGAGACATAGGCAGAGGGAGAAGCAGACTCCACCCAGGGAGCCTGACATGGGACTCGATCCCAGGTCTCCAGGATCACACCCTGGGCTGCAGGCAGCGCTAAACTGCTGGGCCACAGGGGCTGCCCTATCTTAACATTTCTAAATATTCTAGGGACTTGGATAGCCATCCAAAATTTGGGTGTGAAAATTTACCTGTTGGGCACCACTTTTGTCACATCACTGTAATTACAATCCCAAGTTTCTGATAGTATGAGTAAACTGAGCATGTAGTCAGGCATCTAAAACACATAAAGTCAACATATAATTTACAACTAACACCAATTGAGCTCCTTGCTAATCTGAAAAGATAACAATTGTAGAATAGTGTCTTACCTATTCTGTGATCATGTCACAAAGTACCATGCGTTAGTAAATAGTATTAATTCACTCATCCAGACTTTTTGCTTCATGGTTTTTTTAATGATTGGGAATGTGTTTAATTTAGGTGTGATGTCAGGCACATCCAGTCCCATTGGATTGAAGCCTATTATTTAGATACTTTCCCCGGGCAGAAAATGCATTAAAGAAAACATTCTTTGAATACAAAGTAGAAAATATAGGAGAACCTAAAAATTAAGATTTTTGTCTCTCCAAAATATAGACAGATAGCTTGCCAAAAAAGAGAAAAATAGCATTTTGATGACTGTTGTTCAATTCCAGAAGGCTATGATTCTAACAGGGTTTTTTTTGTTGTTTGTTTGTTTTGTTTTGTTTTGTTTTGTTTTTGTTTGTTTAAATAGACTTGTGAGGAAACAGATCAATACTTGTTGCTCTCAGCCAGTGTCACAGTGCATCTCTGCATGGCATGAGCTTGGTAGAAGGGAAAAAGACAATAGAAAAAGAAAACCTTCATGATTGAAAATTTTAATGGCTTATTGAAACATTATAAATCTGCTTTTCACTGCAGGAATAAGTCAGATAAAAATGCCTGTGTTTGAAGTGCAAGCAAGGGAGAAAATCAGAAAATTGTAAAAACACACAACTTCTCTTTTTCTTCCTAGGGTTGATGATAGTCTCTGAGAAATGCTAATTAAACTGATACATTTTCCATCTTGCTTATTTGAGAGTGTGTTGTACTTTTACAAAAAAAAAAAAAGGTTAATTATCCCCTTCTCCTTTTTTTTTCCTTCTCCTTTTTTGAAAAAAAAAAAAAAAAAGGATAACTCATTTAGTTTGCTTCTGAAATTAATCAAACCTGAGCTAGGAATTGTGAAGGTCAAGGAAGAGAAGCAAAACTGAAAACAAGACAAATTTGTTATGGATTTTAATGTTTTCCTTTTGTGTGTGTGTGCAGTTTCTCTAGTAAAATCTGATTATAGATCGTTGAGGCTTCATTGGGTCTGGATGCCTGTCAGGGCTTGAAATCAATTTAGTACACTATCTTGGTGGCCATCAGGGATGAATCACCAGGGAAATTGCAAACTAACTGGCCCACCTTAATGTGAAGCAATGAAAAAGAAGGAAGGGAATGGTTTCATATGAACTGCGAGTTGATCATTCATAAGCATCATTTAAGGTTCTGGGGCTACAGACCTCCTTTAGGTTTTAATGTATTTTGTATCAACCTAAATGGGCCTCTTTTTGTGTGTACTTGTTTTGGGATGTGAGAAATACAGATGCTGATCACTCCAGGTTTTAGGGAAATTGTTACCTGATTTGTATCATAGTATTGACATTGTTTACTCCTCAATGCATATTTCCTTTTCTAAAGCCCAGTGAAGAAAGTAATTTAACCTTTTTCTTGAACTTGCTAACCTTACCAGGACTAAAATACTGGTTAAGGGTACCACGAGTTAGATGTCAAGTCCACTGAGGTACAACTACTTATATTAATAGCTGACAACCCTCCCTACTTTCAGATTAACAAGAATGCAGAACATATTTAGATCTGATTCTAGTGGCCTGTAGTTCTAAGAATACAACCCAGGGTCATCTGATGATTCTAAGGCTTGGATGCTACCATCTTAATTACCTTCAGGACCCACTATTTTTATATGTGACGACAAATTTTAAGAATGAGATGTCAGAGTACAAGCCCCATTTTCTTATACTAACTTGCCATTGTCCATGGAATGCTTTATTTTATTTTATTTTATTTTATTTTATTTTATTTTATTTATTTTATTTTATTTTATCTAAGATTTTATTTATTCATGAGAGACAGAGACACAGGCAGAGGGAGAAGCAGGCTCCATGCAGGGAGCCTGACGTGGGACTCCATCCTGGGTCTCCAGGATCATACCCTGGGCCAAAGGCAGGTGCTAAACCGCTGAGCCACCTGGGCTGCCCCCCCCACCTTTTTTTTTTTTTTAAAGATTGTCCATGGAATGCTTTAAAATAATTTATTTCTGGCCAAAGAGGTTGAACGATATTTTCTACAGAAACTTTTAAGATTAGAAAGACCATCTAGATTTCTTTAAATAATACAGGCCAATTCCTTATGAGAGATTTTTCCATACTGATCCTAGGAGAATTTAGGTGGTGCCCCCAATTCTGGCTGATTAAATGAAGGGCTGATTTCTAAGTAATCCTAGATTTTTTCAGACTGACTTGGTCTTCTGTAGATATTTCAAAAAGTATTTAACTTACATCTTTTTTGTGCTTTGCAGGAAACCGATGCCTCATCAAAATGAAGATTAATCATTTGTGTTTGGGAGCAGCAGAACTGGGGACCACTTACCTGTCAGGTGTTTTATAAACCAATTATATAAGCTCTGATTCCACTGCTCTCCTCCCCATCTCCTTCAAACTTGTCTTACCTATGGCATTCAGGAGACAAGTGAAAAACTTTGTGAAAAATTATTCAGATGCTGAAATAAAAGTCAGAGAAGCAACTTCTAATGACCCTTGGGGTCCTTCTAGTTCTCTGATGTTAGATATCAGTGGCCTGACTTTCAACACAATTTCTCTGTCAGAGATTATGAATATGCTGTGGCAGAGACTCAATGATCATGGGAAGAACTGGCGCCATGTGTATAAATCCCTGACACTCATGGATTATCTCATCAAGAATGGATCAAAGAAAGTTATTCAGCATTGCAGAGAAGGGTTTTGTAACATTCAAACCCTAAAGGATTTTCAACACATAGATGAAGCTGGAAAAGACCAAGGTAAAAGAAATGCATACAGTGTGCCAATAAAGATGAGAGGTTTGGGGGACACCTGGGTGGCTCAGTGGTTGAGCATCTGCCTTTGACTCAGGTCATGATCCCGAAGTCCTGGGATTGAGTCCTACATCAGGCTCCCCTCAGGGAGCCTGTTTCTCCTTCTGTCTATGTCTCGGCCTCTCTTTCTGTGTCTATCATGAATGAATAAATAAATAAAATCTTAAAAAAAAAAAGAGAGGTTTGGGAGGGGATCCTTTTAAAGCAGGAGCTGGGGAAAAGTTGTTCTTAAATGTATCAGCCCCCTTTCTCCTGGGACAGTTATAGTTTCCAGTTTAATCCTTTGTGTTGACTCCTGAGGGCCTTAGAGAACAATTTTTTTTTTTCCCAAGAAGATGGGTAAAACCAACACACTTAGGTTCCTGATAAAACGATACCTCATAGAAAATGAACAAAGTGAATAAAGCGGGAGGCATGGCAGTTTGCTATAATAATGTCACTGTAATTCATAATTATAATTAGACTGAAATTTAGTCACAAATGTAAAGAAGTGTTTCCAAAGACTACAGAATCTTCAAAGACTATCTAGATGGAAGTACTTACATGAATACAAAAATTTAGGTCATAAAATAATTTTGTTGGGGGTGGAGGAGGAGGTGAAATAGGGAAAGGGTGCGTGGAATACTGAACTGATTTGGTAGTGTCTGGTATCTACAGTGCTAAAAGAATCAGCACTTCCTCCCTGTCTAATGTAAAATTATAATTTGTGCTTAAAGGGAATAGGCTTATGAATCATGAGAAGAGGATAAAATTCAGTGCAATCTTTGTGTTAAGTATACATTTTTAGAATAGACTTTTTAAAGAGCACTTTTAGGTTTACAGAAGAATTACACAGGGAGTACAGAGTTCTCATAGACCCTTCCCCATCCACATGCTGTTTCTCCTATTAACATCTTGCAGTAGGGTGGTGCGTTTGTTACAGTTGACAAACCAGTATTAATACATTAACTAAAGTCCCTTGTTTAACTTAAGGTTGGCTCTTTGTGTTCTACAGTTCTGTGGGTTTTGAAAAATGCGTGTCATGTATGTACCATTCTGATATCCTACAGAATAGTTGTGCTGCCTTGATAATGCCCCATGTTCCACTTGTTGGTTCTTTTTAAGCTAGAACCCTTGGCAACCACTGATTTTTTTTCTTGTCTTTATAGTTTTGCCTTTTCCAGAATGTCATATAGCTGGAATCATACAATATGTAGTTTTTTCAGACTCGTTTCTTTCCTTGACAGTAGGCATTTAAGATTCTCTCATGTCCTTTTATAGCCTCAGAGCTCATTTCTTTTTTTTCTTCATGTTTTAAAAATCAGCTTTGTTGCGATATAATTCACTTACCATACAGTTCACTCATTTCAAGTATACAATCCTGTGGCTTTAGGTATATTAATTTTTAAATATTGTGATAAAATGTAAATAACAAAATTTGTCATTTAAGTATGCAGTTCAGTGGCATTAATTCTATTCATAAAGTTGTACCACCATCACCACTGTCTACTTCCAAAACTTTTCATCACCCCAGACAGAAACTCCATAACCATTAAGCAATGACTGTCCTGCTAACCTTTCATCTACTTTATGTCTCTATAAATGTCCTATGCTGGGTATCTCATATAAGTGAAATCATAGAGCATTTGCCCTTTTCTGTCTGGCTTATTTCACATACCACAGTGTTTTCCAGTTCATCTGTGCTGTGGGACGTCTCAAGACTTCATTCCTCTTATAGCTGAATGACATTCTGTGGTATAAATATATCGCATTTTGTTTATCTATTCATCAGTTGGGAGATTCTTGAGCTGTTTTCACCTCCTGGCTATTGTGAATAGTGCTGGAATGAACGAAAGCATCCAAGTGTCAGTTTGAGTCTCTGCTTTCAATTCCTTTGGGTGTATACTTAAGAATGGAATCGCTCGATCATATGGCAATTCTATGTTTAGTTTTTTTGAGGAACCAGTAACCTGTTTTCCTTAGCAGCTATGCCATTTTACATTCTTACCAATAATGTAAGAGGGTCCCTGTTTTTTCACATCCTTGTCAACACTTTTTACTGTCCATCTTTTTGATTATAGCCATTCTACTGAATGTGAAAAGTTGTATCTCATTGTGATTTCAATTCACATTTCCCTAAAGACTAATGATGTTGAACATCTTTTTATGCCCTTGTTGGTCATTTATAGATCTTCTTTGGAGAAATGTCTATAGAAATCCTATGTCCAGGATGCCTGGGTGGCTCAGCAGTTGAGTGTCTGCCCTTGGCTCAGGCTGTGATCTTGGAGTTCCAGGATGGAATCCCACATCGGGCTCCTTGCATGGAGCCTGTTTCTCTCTCTGCCTATATTTCCGTGTCTCTCTGTGTCTCTCATGAATAAATAAATAAAATCTTTTTTTAAAAAATCCCTTGTTAATTTTTTACTGTTTTTTTAATTGTTTGGTGCTATTGTAAATGGAATTGTTTTCTTAATTCCATTTTCAGATTATTCTTTGCGAGTGTATAGAAATACAACTGACTGAGTTATTTTTGTGTATTGCTCTTGTGTCCTGCTACTTGCTGAGCTCATTTATTAGCTGTAATAGTTTGTTGTTTTTTTCTTCAGATTCCTTAGGATTTTCTGCATGCAAGATCATGTCATCTGCAAATGGAAATAGTTTTAATCTTCCTTTCCAATCTGGATGCCTTTTATTTCTTTTTTTGCTTAATTTCCCTGGCTAAAACCTGTACAGGATTGAATAGAACTGGTGAGAGCAGACATCCTTGTCTTGTTTCTGATCTTAAGAGGAATACGTTCAGTCTTTTACCATTAGGTATGATGTTAGGTTTTCATAGATGCTTTTCATCATAAGGTTGTTAGAGTTCTAATTTGTTGAGTGTTTTTATGAGGAAAGGCTGTTGACTTTTGTCAAGTGCTTTTTCTGCATCTGTTGAAATGATTGTGTTTTCCCCCTTTATTCTAATATGGTGTATTACCTTGATTTTCATACGGGTACCAACCTGCATCCCTAGTGTAAATCACACTTGGTCATGATGTATATCCTTTTTATTTTTTGAACTCTTTACTTAAGGTCAGATTTGAGGTTTAAAAATTTATATATATATATATATATATATATATATATATATATATATATATATATATATATATTTTAGAGAGAGGCAGAGAGAGCATGAGCAGGAAGGGGGGAGAGAGAGAGGCAGAGAATCACAAGCAGATTCTGCACTGGGTGCAAAGCCTGATGTGGGGCTCAATCTCATGACTTTTAGATCATGACCTGAGCTAAAATCAAAGGCCAGATGCTTAAACCGACTGAGCCACCCAGGTACCCCAGGTTTGAGGTTTAGTGATGAAATAAAATCTTCCTGGGTTTTGATCATGCTGTGCTTTTTAATCTAGAAATTGTAAAGACATTAACTTTCATGAGGTTTGAATTTATTTTTAAAAATTAAAATAGTGATCAAAATTTTGCATCCCCAAGAATTAGGTTTAAAAAAAGTCAGTATTTTGTATGATCGTGAATGGAATATAATCATTTTTTTCTTTATAGAGCAGATATTTTATTACTGTACTAAGCACTTGATTTTTTTTTCTTAAGTGGAAAGAGAGGATCAGCCCATGCTCTAAAGAGTTTATGAGCTATTTTAAGAGATAAGATAGATAAGCATGAAATTTTAAGCAGACATGCTTAGTTATGCATTTATACCTTTTATATGTACAAAGTATGGTATATTTGGATATGTTTAAATTCACTATCTAAAGGTCTTTCAGATTTCCTAACAGTTGAGCTTAGGATCAAAGAAGGAAGCACAAGTATACTATCTTGGACTTTGTAAATACTCCTGATTATTTGGTAGCACCAAAAGGGCAAGAAAAGTATTTCATTTTTATCTTTTATGCATTTATCTCTTTGTGTTTGTTTCTTAGTGAATGTAATTATTAGAATAATAGCTCTTGGCATAATTTATACATAAACAAATGTATATGTATATTGGGGGTCAGTGCATGAACAAAAAAATTGTTACTGATTGGGTGTGCAGTTAAAATAGTTTGGGAATTACTTGTTCTCAGGATAAAGTCAGGCCCCTTAGCATGTTCCAAATCGACCTTTTACTATTAAGTCCTTAGTCTTCAATCTAACACATTGCATTTGGCATTCCTAATATATTCTTCACTTCTATGTGCTGATACTTAAGATGTTTCTTCTTCCCTGTAATAGTTTCTTGCTGTGTGTTTGTTGAATTCCTACTTAGTTGTCAAATTCTAGCTCAGAGGTCTTTTCCTCCATATCTCCAACTATTTCTTTTTCTCACTAGGCAGAATTAATTGCTGTAGAACTTTATTAATAATATCAGTGTGGGTTTTTTATAGTATATCCATTTGATATATATATGTATATGTGTGCATGTATGTATACATGTACATGTATATGTACAGATTTGTCCTTGACTAGATTCTTAGGGTATTTGTCATATGATAATCATCTTTTTACCATCAGGCCTTGGTACATACTGGACATGAGTAAGTTTTTATTTAGTAGAAGTTATAAAAAAAGAAACTGAGGGAATTGAGGTAAGAAATTTGATCATTGAAAAACTACTCAATAAGAATGATTTTGTTGGATCAGAAAAGAAAGCAATGAAGTTTTTTTTTTTATTTTTTATTTTTTATTTTTATTTATTTATGATAGTCACAGAGAGAGAGAGAGAGGCAGAGACATAGGCAGAGGGAGAAGCAGGCTCCATGCACCAGGAGCCCGATGTGGAATTCGATCCCGGGTCTCCAGGATCGCACCCTGGGCCAAAGGCAGGCGCCAAACCGCTGCACCACCCGGGGTTCCCAGCAATGAATTTTATACCGAGAAATTAATGAGAGAGAAATTGCAGTGATCCAAGAATCTATAACTGGATCCTACCTGAGATACTGGTATTAAGAAGAGACAAAGAAAAAAGGTTAAAGCAGAAG